GGTAGGGATAGGGATGGTGGAAATGAGCTGATACCAAGGGCTCAAGTAGAAAGAAAATGTTTTCAAAATGATGATGGCAATGAATGTACAAATGTGCTTGACACAATGAATGGATGTATGATTGTGATAAGAGTTGTATGAGCCCCCTATAAAATGATTAAAAAATAAAAAAGATTATGTCCCACAGAAAGCACTATTAGCCTGCTATCGTACCTGCCAAGAATAATTATTATTTTAAAAATCATCTTTTAGTAAGATTAATAAAAGGAAATGAACAAAGGATCTCCATTGTAATTTTTTACCAAGAATAGGTGTAGGTTTAGGGAAGAAGGGGCCAGGGGTTCTTACCATGACAGCCTGAAGCACCCCCCTATTAAAAACTAGCTGACATGCAGTGTTGTCACTAATTTTCAATTCAGAGGGTGTTATTAGATGAGAGCCAATGGGTGACTGAGATGGCAGTCAACGAATAATCAGTATCTGTCATGTAGGTGTGAGGCACAAATTCGCAAACAGGATAGATGGAGTCCCTGCCCTCTGCCTAATAGGGAAGACAGAAGCTAAATAAGTACGCATGCAGCAAATGATACAGGGGTGGAGCAGGGTGGCCCAACCTTAGTGCAGGATCAAGGTAATGGGGTGAGGGCATGGTAACAGTGGTTAGGTAACTGGCTCTCTATTTCAACATTAGGCAACTCAACTTCCAGAGCTTCAGCTTTCCTTTCTGCAAAGTGAATAAATCAAGAGTACCTTTCTAATGTAGTTCACTGATCTAGCCAACCTTAAAGTATTCCCAGTGGTAAAAAAAAGAGTCTTGGGCCTTCAGACTTTTTACTAGTAATAAAAGAAATGGGATACTTAGCGTGGTTAATTGATAATTAAACATAGATAGAACTTGGGCTTGCCGGTTTTTTATTTTTGTTGTTTGCTTTTCACTCTTTGGGAGGCTGTATCAGGAAAAGGACACCGTGCTTGGTAAAGTAGGGATTAACCAGATGAATGGATTCGGCACAGTAGCTCCACGGGCTCAAAGGCCGTAATTGTGAGGATGGTGAAGAACCCAGTGGTTGCTATGAGTCAGAACTATCCGAACAGCAACCGTAGCAGCTATTTCACAGAGCCGGGAGGCTTACACACGAATGCACCTAAGTATTAGTACATTGTCCGGCACAGGGTAGGCACAAATAAGAGTGTGTGAGTCATTATTCTGTTTGAGTTCAAATGTAAAGAGTTTGGTAGATGGTTGTCTCCAAATACCCAGTGCTAGTTTGTACACATTTTTCTCTAATCTGGATTGGATGCATTTAACCAACAGATAATTCAGGGTATCTTATCTGACAGATACTCTTCGGAGAGAAAATTGAGGATGCAGCAGTGAGCCAAAACCAACAAAAAGTCAACCCTGCCACCAGCCCTGGGAGCTGGGGATGCGAAGCAAACTTTGCTGAATAGTATTACATTATAAGGAAAGATTAGAACATAACAGGAGCGAGGGACTTGCTTCGGCATTGTAGAGGAGGTGTTGGTCTTGTACAAATTGACTGGGAACGCCTCACTTGGATCCTTGAGCCCAAGTCAGAAGAAGGTAAGGGAGGACTTTATGAGCTCTGCTGATATCTCTGTGGAGAGAGCGGGGCACCCTCAACGCTGGGACAAGCCCTGGCACGGAGTGAAGGAAGGGAAAGAAAGAAGTATAATGACTCCCAGGAAAGCTCTCACCTGTGTAAGTCGGAAACCTGTCAGAGAAGGGAAATGAAACTATTTTCCACTAATAGATAGCAAGGTAGTAAGATTGCACCCTGTGAAAGGTGGAAAAGTTTTTATGAGACCTGGATCAACAAGCAGACCCATTGAATTTTGGCTCTCGCAGGTTCCACTGTTTAAGAATGGTCTAGATCCGTCCTGTCCAATACACTAGGAGATTGTAGCCATTAGCATATGGTGCATTTTATATTGATTGCATGTTGAGATGACACTTTTAGAGGTATATTGTATTAAATAAAATGCTATTAAATCTTTAAAAGGAATTCTTATTTGAGCTCTTCATTTTATTATTATTATTACTATTTTTAAAAAGATCATTTTATTAGGGGCTCTTAAGCTCTTACAACAACCCATACATCCGTTGTATCAAGCATATTTGTACATATGTTGCCACCATCATTTTCTAAACATTTATTTTCTATTTGAGCCCTTTGTATCAAAAAGCTCCTCTTTTTTCCCTCTCCCCCTCCCATCCTCGTAACCCCTTGATAAATTATAAATTACTATTTATTATTTTCCTATCTTACACCAACTGCTACCTCCCTTCATCCACGATTCTGCTATTGAAATTTTTAATGTAGCTGCTGGAGAAAGGAAAAATTAATGCACAGCTCACATTCTCTGAGAGAGGTCATTGATCTTAGGGGCCGGGAGCTCCACATCAGAGAGGCTCCTTTTAAGTTTAGGCTTTTAACAAGAAGCCCGTGGAAAGATTCAAGCAAATTTCTATTAAAGAGACTCATCTGGAAGTGGTGTGGGTGAGAGGTGGGGGATCGGAGGACAGAAATGGTTAGGAGACTGATGTCATAACTCAGGAGGGATGATGGTGGTGTGGCTGACCGTGATGGTAGTTGTAGCAGAGGTGAGAAGTAGTCAGAAAATGAAGGACACATATCAGGTGAAGTTTAATTAGCTTATGAGTTGGAATTGGCTCAATGGCACACAACAATAAATTTAATTTAAATCATCTATCTTTTCTTTTGAGATAGCCTTCCAGTCATATATATCCTGTAGGCAGGATATATTTTTTTTTTAATGAAATTGTTCTTGTTTGTAATTCATGTTAGCTGCTTTGGTAGTCTTTAATGTCCTTATTTGGCAAAATAAAAGGCTGGTAATATCAGCTCAGTGTACACACCTTACTATAATTTTCTTGAATGTTTACAGATTTTAAATTCCAAAGTCTGAGAGCCACTGATCCAGGAGGCACTGAGAGGGATTAATGGAGGGGGTGGAGCGGGGTTGGGCAGTTCAAGGAGGTGAAACCAGAGATGTAATAAACACTTGGTCTGGTGAGTATGTGGTGGAAAAGTAATAAAGTGGAATAGAGTTTAAGAATATCTTGGGATCGATCTGGAATGATAGGGAGGGGTCAGAGCAAAGTTTCTTTCACCTAATGTACAAAGACAAATGGTCTCCAGAGACTATTTCTCAGATTA